CACAGTCGTCGATAGCTTCCATGTTAGTGATACCGAGAGCGAGTATGCTGAGAAGAAAGGTGTGTCGACGCACCTAGAGCAGGTCAATTCCAGGGATGCTGCTTGAATCGCTTTGGGAATAGCAGAAAAGGCTTGATGATTTGTATATATTATCTTTGATGAACCTACCGATCTGTTGTAAATAGAAGACATTCTTTCCAGTGTAATAGAACATGTTCAACATAATCCAACATGATGCTACTTCGAGTGTTTTCAAGCTTTGTTGCAGCAGTAGCATGCGATAGTCGAGTCTTGGAACGGAAAGCAGGGATGGCTCGCTACGGTTGCCCAGTCGTGGTTCGACCTAGCCCGTGGTTCGATAGCGGGGTAAATCAACTGGTACCCACGGTGCCTAGGTGATTCCTGCGTCCTCGCTTGCTCTCTCCAGGCACAACGTGGCGTTCCTTACCCCATCAATGTGGGTGAGAAATTAGTAGTGCGGGTCCGGACTGCATCGCATCGTCACTGGGCAATTAGTCATCATTCATCGCGATGCCAAATGTAGGGAGACCCTCTCCAGGATGCAAGACTTGTAGGGACAGGAGAATCAGGGTATGTAGCGCGACCGCGACCAGGCGTCTCGAGTGCTAACCTGCTGTTGAAGTGTGACCAGAAGCGGCCCTCATGCTCACAATGTCTTCGCGCAGGCAAAGAATGCCATGGATACCGGGATCCGGTGTCGCTGATGTTCAAGAACGAAAGCCATGTCGTGGCGAAGAAGGCAGAGAGGCGCTACGAAGAGCTTGCCAAATCAAAAGAACCAACAACACCTTGGAGACGTGGAGAGCCCGCTAAAATTAGAAGCTTGCAGAGGATGTATCCGGTGCGGATACCGCCAAGTGCTGAGATGGTTGTGCAACCTACGCCGAATGTCGACGCGCGAGCCCAAGGGTACTTCCTTGCCAACTACGCGGGCACTGCCGACTTCCCCCAAGGAGGCCAATTTGAGTGGATTCCTCAGCTCCTATCTCGGATGGATGTCGAGAGCAGTCTTCGCGAAAGCTTTCGAGCCCTGAGTCTAGCTGTCTTCTCCAATGCAGTAAAATCTCCTGCCGTCATGCAGAAAGCACGTATTGCATACGTATCCGCGTTGGAGGAGACCAACAGAGCACTCATGTCGCATGAAACAGCCATCAAAGACAGCACCGTGGTCTCCGTAATCCTACTTGGTATGTACGAGGGCACGAGATACACGGACAAGAGCTCTATAGCCAGATGGTCCAAGCACGTCAGCGGCGCTTACACGTTGTTCATGCTCCGAGGAAAGTCCCAGTTCGATACAGAGCTTGGACGGCAGATATTTTTGCAGTCTTATGGTGTTGCGTTATTCTTCACGATGGAGTTGGGAACGAATATTCCAAGTTAGTAAGCCCCTGTTCGAAATGCAAGTGAAACATGTGCTTACTTCATAAACGAACTTTTAGAAGGGGTGCAAGAGTTATATGATCAGATACCGACAGGCGGGGGATTCCAGGAGCTCGGGAAAAAGTTTATGATGAGCATGCTGCATCTCATGCACGCTGTTGTCAAACTCAACCAAGACAAAAGCCACAGCCCCGTCGAGATAATCAACAACGCCAGGAAACACGACCAAGAGCTAGAAAAGATCAAGGCTTCCCTACCTCAAGTATGGCAACCCATAAGAGTCCATCTCAAGGCGCCTTCGGACCACTACTATGGAAATCTGTATAGCCTCTGTCTCCATCCCGTTATAACTCAGATGTGGAACTATACGCGGTTTCTTGGGATCCAGATACACGAAATCATAAGAACGAATCTGGTCAGGCTTTATGAGGAACATGCGCCACCAAGCTTCGATGTTGCTTCCCTAAAGACATGCATACAGTATGAGGAGGACATACTGCGGGCTAATATCGCGGCAATCATCTCTGCGGTGCCTCAAATTACGGGTATGGTACCATCACCTGCACAGCCTTTCGCACAAGGGAAAAAGACCGACGAGGATTCTTCAGACGAAGATGTCATGAGAGAACCGGGCACCTTTATTGATTCGGTCGTTTCGCCAAGGCTGATGCAGGTCATCCAGCCAATATATACCGTGGGTATGTGTGTGCTTATTACACCTGGTCTGCGGGAGTGGATCATTAAGATTCTCCATTTTGTTGCACTGAGAATTGGGTCGAGACAGGCAGTCGTTTTTGCAGCTGAGCTACAGGAGCTTCAGGAACATGAACCAACGATAGCGCGTGATCGTGAAGACATAGCCGAGTGGATAACGTTGGGTTCTGGAGTAATATGAGAGTCAATAAGGGGCGCAGCAAGAGAATTATCTTAATGACTCTTCTCTTTCAACCTTCTTGAAATAATGAACAAGAGGTCGAAACGAATATGAATATTGGGATCTCGTACAGACTCGGACCTTTACATTCATACCACACACAAGCGTGCACACGAAATCATTTCTCAAGGTCTACAAGTTCTTCTTACCCTCCTTGTTCTTAGCTTCACCAAATCCCACTCGTGCCAGAAACGCCAGCCTCACCAATCCTGCAAATGCCGTGATTCCGATACTTCCCCAATCTTCCGCCCTCCACGTCCCCATGTCTAGTCTCTTCTGCTTAGCCAGAACCTCCCACACCGCCCAATAGTATGCCAAATCGACGACGAAGCAAGACAACTGGACAATGCGCCAAACGTTCATATCCTGTGTGTAACGTAGTAGAACAGCAGATATAATGCCAAAATTCAGCATACCGCCGCCGCGCTGCTTCAGGATCATAACATGACCAATGTCCGGAGTGGGAGAGGGAATATGCGACGAAAGGACAGTGGTAGGCATGAAGAAGTCCATGGTCGCACCCCAGGCGCAGATTATGGGGTCGACATATGTAAAGAATATGCGATAGAAGGCGGGTATAGAGGGTGACGTGGGCTGAGACATGATCGCGGTTTGGTGATCCGATCTATGCCTCAAGAAATCGGGCACGAGGATAGCAGCGTCTTTAGGAGGCCGAGGTATGTAGACTGTCTGTCAAGACTGGTGATAGTGTGCGTAGTAGTGTGGATGAGATGTGCGGCTCAAAATGTCCCTTGTGCTCGACCACATGTCAGCTTCGCGCCCCGCGTTAGTCGCTCTAACTGCTTCGGTGCTGTGCCGCTATAGCACCGCAGACTAAGTCGCTTGTGATTAGACCCGTATACCAACACAATCCATAGTGCACACAGGCTCCACTTTGATCCTTCAGCTTCGAACTTTCCGTTGTAGTGGTGCAGCACGTTGGTGACCGTAATGACGCAGCGCCATCCCGCCTGTACCTGCACAGGTGGTGTCATCCTCGATCGCTCACAGACGGGTGTATCCTGCCTGCCTTCCTCCACCAACTCCAATGGAAGAACAACAACCCACAAGATCTGTCAAGATCTCAAGTGAACCAGCCCTACGCGATGATACTACCTAGTGTGCCTAGGTAGCTAGCGCGGATCCCCACGGTGTTGGACACCTGAGGTGTCGTCACGCCGCGACCGAATACTGCATGTGGAGGCTGTTGCGTCTTTCCACGCCTCGCAAACTCTTATCCACTTCATAGACGAACTCACTGTGCAGCACACCTTTGGGGGCTTGTCTCAATCTGTGACAAGACTTCATAGTACTTCGATCTTCATTGTTGCTCGTCCGGGGCCGTTCCGCTTCTCTCGCTCGCACGGCGGTTATTCGAAACAGCTGAATGGGCAACATCATGCAAGAGGCGTAAATCTGCCCCGCCCCATTGATTAAAAGTATTCCCGAAAATCATCTTCGAAACATGTAGCTTGGGGTGGTATAGCAAAGTTGACGCGCTCGTCACAACTCGATACGGGAACGGTGAGCCAGCTGGTGTGGTCGGGCTTCGCGACTTGATCTAACCTGGAGAACGCGACACAACCACGGTATGCATCCATCAACAACGGCATGCGCCAACACCTGAGCGCTCTCACTGCCACGAAAGCCGTCACTACTGCTAGTGCATTGCGTAGTACAGTCTCGAGCGAAGAACATGCCCCCTCCTAGGCCTGCGATGCGAGGCCCAAGGCGTCCTCAACAAGGTGGACATCGTCAGAGTGTGCCACGCATGATGAACATCTTCAGGCAGTCAGAAGCTTAATTAGAAGTGTATTACTCCTTTCACTCCAGTCAGCCTTATAACGATTTGAGGCCACTTATTGACTGGCAATTGCAAGGTTTGCGAGCGCCGCGAAGGCTGAGCTGGAGTCCGAGCGAACGTCAACTTTTGCAACTCCACCATCGCGGACCGACCGATGATGCCTGCGACCTCAGGCAACTCTATCGAATTTACGATTACGTCGATGGTCCCTGGCTAGCAGCCTTCTCGCGTACAGCCTCTCGGCACGCATTCAGGTTTGCATTGAGGTGGCATTCCTGCTGCTGCAACCTGCATCACGAGAGTCGCCTCCGCTGCGGTGCGCGAAAGCCGTGCCTTGCATTATCACCCCAACTCAGCCTGCGATAGCTGAGCTCGACCATTTAGCGGCATTTCTGAGATTAAGGTCCGGCGGCAAAACGAGATAATTCTCTGGAGAAGGCAATTCCTTGATCATCGGCCGCCCCTAATTTAACCGTGTCGGGTTAAAGCATTCGTCGCTTCGCCTCAAACAGACTGGGCATTCGGTCTAATGATGCAATTCTATTGGCGTACAACAAAGAATGCTCATGAATAAGTGGGTATTATGACAGTTATGGTGCCCAGAAGCAGGTGATTGACGCGATAAAGACACCAATGTACACGGAATTGCGGCAAATGTCCGTTGTGACCCTACCACACTCGCTCTAGTAAGCCAGGCAGTACTGCGGCGTTGGCCGTTTCCCTCCCCTACTTTCGGTTCTTCACGAGCAAGCCACATCCGCTTCACACGTCCCAATGCTCTACGGCACGGAAGGCCTACTCGTTAAGCGCCGTCGTAAGATGGAGGACATGTTCTGCCTACACGATGGATCAGCTAAGATGGTGGCGTGGAGCTGGGGGAGTTGGGTTGATATATAGCTCGTCAACTGGCTTTTAGTATCAAGGTACCTCAAAACGAAGGTTCTTCATGTCAGCAGAGCAATTCTCGAAGCTCTCTCTTGGAGAGGACATGGTTACAACTCGTGCTGGGGCCGCAAGGGCAGCAAGAGCTAGTGCACAGTCATCAGATCACTCTGACCAAGACCAGCCCCTACCGTCAGTCGAGTCGACCGTTTCGCCTACGCCTTCCCTGGTTATATCGACGAAGAATCTCCACTACAATGTTTCGGCTTTCGATACCGACCTACGAAGACGGGCCAAGAAAGGACTAGAAGGTAGCGAGATTAGGTTGAAGTACTGCGCAGTCTCGGAAGACGAATACAGTCCGGGTGGTAGTCCAAAGAAATTCTTCCATCTAGAGGACGAGATCACCGTGGCGATGGGTGGAAGGTTAAGGAGGCCAGAGTGTACATGTGGTGCCAACGAGAAAGGCCTCGCATGTAAGGTATGACTACCAGCGTACGACTATTGAAACATGACTAAAAAAGACTCTGAAGCATATCTATTGGGTTGGAGACCAGATCATCTCGACTTCCCCAGACGACATGGTGAAGACACCACTTCACCTTTCACCTGACGGCTCGAAAATCGAAGATGTGAAGCCTGCTGAAATACTGGATACCAAGGGTTTAGCCAACATCGCCAACGACTTGAAGTGGGTTTACCGAGACGACGACGACCTACCTGAAGACGATGATGACCTGAAGGAAACAGTCATCGATATGTTCTCCTGCTTCGAGCCCCGGGATGCGCTTCCTGGGGAGTTTCGGTATCCTGAATCGCCCTTGACTTCAGAACGATCGAAGAAGTACCAAGAGCTCGCAGATCTCTTCACGCAGTACGCAAGTAGAGACCCTAGTCTGTACCTTCAGATGCGCAAGATCATCGATGCAGACTTCGAAAGCCGTGTTTTCTTCGAGAAGGTTGAAAAGCGCATCGCGTTGACCTTCGATGCTCTGGATGAGTACATTGTCAAAGGACCCAAAACTCTCTCTGAAGGCCCGCCTCGGTTCGATGTTTCCAGTTGCGCAGAGCAGTTGACCTCACTAGTCGGGGCCATTGATGACTTTTACCATCGCCAGGCTGATGTCGAGGATGCAGCTGCACGAGCAGCGATGGCTCTTGTCACTATCCTTGACCGTGTCACAGACCGCAATGTAAATGCATACGAAGGCATTACATGGAGCGGCATGGAGGCTTTATCGGACCCTGTGCAAAGCAACCTATACGTTGCACTCATTGGAGCACAAACAGATGACGACCATCAATTTGTACTCGAAGCGCTTGCGTCTTTACCACAAGAAGACGTATACCGTAACCACTGGACAGTGTTGCAGGATGTCGAACGCAAGCTGATTGAGGCTGATGCGCCTGCTCATTACATGAATCTCTTCCGCAACCTGGTCTATGAGAACCGTAAAAGGCCAGGGTCGGCGGTACGCGAACGAGAGCCGAAGCGGGCGATGCAGTAATCCCGGTCGGCAAGCGGTGTGTCTTGCGGTCAAAACAACCGTTGAGTGGGCGGTGGTGCCATTGCGCTCTCATTTTGCTTTTGTTCTGGCGTTGGCGGATTTTTGCATTTGTTCCATTCCTTTCTTTGTGGCATTTTTCATCGTTTAATATCTTCATGTCTTTCCTTACGACGTTACGGCTGTCTGCAGCGCTAGCTGTCATTTTCTTCTTCTTTACTCAAGGTCGTCGGCCTTTGTTTTGTTATGTTCTCTCCCTTCAAGGCCACCCGACTCTGGCCAACAATAGGCCGGATGATTCTGAATCTCTTCGCTTCTTTCTTTTGCTTTCTCTTCAGCCGGTTGCTCACCGGAACTTTAACGTCCCTGATTTTTTCCAGGGCACACTTGATGTGTCCTTTCTCTTCTACACACTCCTTGTATACATAGTTTGAGCACTATTTTTACGCTACAATTTACCGTTAGCACTGTAAGCTACAAAACATATGCTTCTAAATGTATTCCGGAGTCAAGAAAGTCCGTTTAATAATCCCATGCAACCACTTGTGACATTGTTTAAGTATGTTGAAGGGTGATAGACCCAAAGCAATTAAGTGCGACCCCTAAGCTGCACATATCAGATGATACGAGGCTCCGCATTCATACAGTGCCAAGGTCCGATATATAGAAAGATCCCGCGGAACTGGGATTATGGCCGACGGCTGACTGACTCGAAACAAGACCGGAATGCACGAAGTGGATCTGGTGCATCTCATAGCTGAACTTCACATGCCATAGGCTTTCGCATGTCGTCAAGTGCGGTAGGAGTTAATCATTCGTTTACTACGCGCTTGGCGCACCTGGCACATGGAAGCTATTATAGATCAAACTACATGTCGGTGTGAATGTCGGATCAGATATCTCGTAGCATGCAAGATAGCAAGTCGGCGTCGGACGTCTACATGAGCCAATCATGTAAGACTCAGCTGCACGTCGTACAACGACTCTGTCATTGGTACGTCTAAGTGGCCGGTGTATCGAGGCGCTAAGTTGGAAGGCGTTCATCTGGCGTACACACGATGTTGCTCAAGTGGTTGTTGTTTTGTGGTGCATCTGGCCTTGGACATGGTGGGGTGTTCGTCCTGTAGAGTGCAAAATGTCCACTAGGACTAGCGATTAACCTTCCGCTTTTGCTCGCGGCCTCTAAATCGGCGCATACACAGTATGACGCTTGTTGTAAGCCCCCGCAGTATGCGACATGTTACAGAGCATGTGTTATCTAGGTGTTCCGCCGTCTCCGCATAGCATAAGCATGCGTCTGGCGTCAAGCACAAGACGCAGATAAAGTGATTGTGTGTAATACACACTCGTCTTGCAAAGATTCTGAGCAGATGTAGCGAGGACAGAAGCATCAACGTTGGAGTTGTATGGCGTGTGAATGGCATGATCAAGTACACATGCAGGTGAATAAGTGAAGGGATCTGAGTGGCAAGATAGCTCGTACCAAGCTTATGCTAGCTAGGAACTTACCGTGTCCGTGTTGATCGTGATAGTCGTTGTGGGCACAAGAAGGTGGGTCGAGCGCTCGACTGCGGGGAGTGCAGCGGCTAGGCTCGAGTTGCCTCTGGACGTGGTTGGATGGCAGGTGAAAGGGCCGCGTCCTTTATCCACACATGTGCATGGCCGGACTGCGGGGAAGGAGCGGAGCTAATCCGCTTGGAGAACTAGGGCAGATGGGCATCCTTTGGCAAGCGCAGCCAAGACACCCGCTGTTGCTTCCATATTACTCTCCTGTCCATCGTCCCTGTTTCTTGCCATTTCGACCTTCTTCTCTTAACCTGTTGAACCAAAGTCTCCTGCTAGTCCACGTTATCGAACGCGATTCCCTTGCAAACGTAATTCGCTTATCACGCCATCGACCCCCGCTGACGTACTGCATCTCGGGGACCCTGTCTGTGCGCCTAGCGACATATCAATCATCCCACCCCCCCTTGCCTTGTTGCTTTGAGCACCCCGTTCTGATTTGTTCTTCGCACACGACCCCTCGATTCAATTAACCTTCTTGTACACACTTTGAACTTGTCTCAAACTTCGCTGTCACCCTCATAATGTCCTCCAACGGTCGAAACTCACCGCCGCTACCTTCGCCGGATACTCGCCGACGTGCTTCAGTCACCAGCCAGACCTTCCAGGACCTGTTCGGCCGGTCAAACAGCTATGTAGGCCAGCAACAGCCCTCTTCAGGCCCCATCACCACAGCAGCCGCCAATGCTCAGCGGCGGCGGCTCTCGCTCACCACCCTTGGTCTTGGTGCCTCGCCCGGCCAGACATCACCCTTCCTCCAGACCCCGCGAACCCGAACCGAGAGCATCTCCAGCGCCAACTCTGGCTCTGTCGACGAGAGCCCATTCGAGGATGATTACGCCCCTTCCACGTCTGCTAGCAGCAGCAACCCGGCCACACCCTTTGTTCGACGGCTGAGCTTCGGAGCTCGTGCAATGCGGGATGTCAGGCAGAGCAACGGAGGCGTTGGGAACCCAAATGGTAGACCACCCATCCATAAAGCTTCCTCTCCCCCGACTGGTCGAGGTCGAGGTCTGTCTTCATTGTCGCAGTCATTGCCCTCTTCCGCTACCTTGCTTCGTCCCTTTACCCATGCACATTCGCGGCGATCTACATCTATATCACACATCTGGCCTTCCACTATTGCAGAGCAGTCCGAGAATATACTGGGAAACTACTCGCTAACATCGTCTTCAACAGGCGAAGGTTACAATTTCGCTGAGAACCTCCGATCGCGAGCCGAGCGAGGCTCCATCTCCGGCCCTAGCGGAATGTTGAGCCCGTCTCCTCCAACGCACCAGCGTGCTAAGAGTGTCACAATCATGGAGCCACCTGCCCGCGAGATGCCCAAGCCCAAGGTGCCCGACGCCATGCAGGAGCGGATCCTCAAAGGCGACTTCTACATGGATTAGTCTCTTTGCGTAGCTTGATGTTTTAAATCTCCGGTAGGTGGTCTGTTACGTGTCTCCTGCTCTCTAGTGACTGACGTGTCCTGTTTGCAGGACCATCTACTTTACAGATGAGACGTCAGATTATTCCACGATCGTGTATCAGTACTCTAGCGCTTATCAAACCCAATTCCATCTACTCCAGGACTACTTCCACCTAGCTCTCGTATCGCTCATGGCCATGAGCGATCGACGGACTACAAACACGGCTTCAGTGAGGTTGCTCACGCATGAATGCACATGTACGGTAACGGCGATTACTGGACTTGGCCCTATTGTGCTTCTGGCGATATTTCCATGCGCAGCTATCATTGCTGGCAGTATGCATACCACAATCGTTTCCACTAGGCTCCCCCCTTGTTGATTTGGAAAAATCGGCTACACAGCATACTCTTGACTGCATGACCACACGAACACTTCAGTTATGTACTTCATATTCTACTAGTACAGGCGTATGATTACGAGGAACGGGCGGACCAAATTGTTATGCTTACTTGATGAGGCTACGTCAGTAGAGCAGGGTGTTCGGAGTTTGTGAGGCATATCACGCAGGGCGAGAGGTCAAACTACTCGATATGAAACATTGTACGGAAACAGACTGTAGATGGCAGAGCAGCTCAGCACAGCATCATACAAAGAAAGGACAAAGTGACGAAATTACTGTGCGCATTGCTCGCGTGTGATGGTGTGTTGGTACGCGTCATGTTTTCCACAATGAGTTTCAAGTAAACTGATCGGCGTTGTGTTGTACGCGTGTAGGAAGGTGGAATGTTCACTGTCGATCATCAACTCCACTCGGGTCAGTGACAGCCGGACGCGAGGCAATCTAAATGTTGAGATAACAAATAATGGTTGAATTATGTTATCGCTCGAACAGCTCTGCCAACACTCCCCGTCTCAAAAAGTTCGACTAGTCCAGCGCCTAGACATTCCTCCAAAACCCAGTCAAACCTCATGCCGTAAAAGGTTTTCCATTTCTTCGTCCGGCCAGGTAATACGCCTGCAAACTCTCCTCTCAACTTCTTCCTCTCTGCTTTGATATCGTTGGCTGTAACACCACCGTCCCACCGCTCGCGAAGGGCACTAAGTGGCATCTCTTTGTACTTGGTCTTGTTCAGCAGAGCGAGAAGGTGGTTCCGTGCATCAACCAAGAGCTTGATATGCGCACCCATATTGGGCAAGGATAAGTTGTATTGTGCTGCTAGGGAGGGACGTGATCCCGATCCGCCGTGGATATGTTGGGTTGCATGTGTACCGCCGACGGCATCTAGAGAGCCAGCTGCGTGGCGAGATCCAGATGCAGAGACGGCGAGGAGTGAGCTGGCGCCTGGTGATGCAAAAAGAGAGGTATTGGATGGAAAGTACGAAGCTGAGGTAAGGAAGCCAAAGGTTACCAAGGCTGAGAGCTCAGGAGATGTGAAGGTTGTGCCGGGGATGGACGTCGATGTTGGATTGGCGTTCATGGCAGCTATATATTTTGCTGACGCTACGTTAGCTATGTGCATTCATTTGATAGATTTAGTGGTCTACCTTTCAGCTCTTCAGGTAGTTCAGCATGAGCCTGTACAAGTGCCTGCCACTCTCGTACAGAAGCGATACCATCACCCACAGCAGCAGCACCAACACCACGATTCGGTATCATTACCCTACGCAAGATGCCCGCTCTTGCCAGCTCAGAGATTTCTCGCTCATTCCGCGTTGAGGACGTACTCAGAGCGTCAATGTGCGCTACTGTGACAAATGGCGGCAATCTTCTTCGGAAGTTCAAAACCTCTGCTATCCTGGTTGAGTTCATGCCGGCTTTCTCTGGCATACCGGTAAACATGTTGTTGCGGATGTACTCGATATATTGGGGAACATCCCGGAAATTCAAATCGTGGGCTAGGTTTGCTATTACTACCCCGGTATCATCTAGTTGCTCGTCGTCTTCAAAGGCAGTTGTAGTCTCGGCCGGTAATGATCGTCTCTTGGAACTTGCAGTAGAGGGTGAGGAGGTCGTTCGTTTCAGACCCAATGCTGCGACGGCACTTTTTCTTCTTGGTTTGGTAATGCGCGATGAATGTGCTGCTGTGGCGTGGAAGGACATGTTGAAGGATGGTAAGGGTGTTCAGGCAGCAGGGTATTGTCAATCGGGCGAAAGATGCTTGCAGTTTCTTGGTTGCAAGTAAGATTCAAGAATCATAGCGGCGTAGGTAAAAGCATGTCTTGATATTGACGAATCACGAAGTGGCGACGATGTGAGACGCGGCGTTGAAGTGTTTGAGTCCTCGGTGGAGCTGCGCCACAGCAGGCATTAGCGCAGACGAAGATGTCTGGGAGAAGCATAACGGACAATGGTTGTTGTGTGGTCGCATGACCTCACTCGGTACTACCAAAGACACTGCATGCGTTGGCCGCGAGTGCCATACGCTGGTAGCTGGTCTGATAGAGGCTGCCGTTGATGTGCTCGCGGCTCCTGTGGGTGCCGGGGTCCGTGGAGGGAGAGAAGACGGAGCCACAGCCGTACGTCATTTCCACGCGCGGAACGTCAGGAAGGTCCAACACGCTATGCGCGCCAACAAAACCCAAAACATGCCCATTTCCACCTGTCCTACCAAGCATCTCTTCACCACTGCTCCTATCCCAGCCCATCGCTAGCCATGTCGCTGAACCCAGAGCCCTCGGCGCCTGAAGAGCGGGCAGAGCACCACCTGCCGCCCAAGTCGTACGCCGACGCCGCCGAAGAGGCCCTCGAGCCACAATCACATGCCAACGGCACCGACGGCACCATGGAGGACAGCGGGTACAGATCAAGAGGCAGCAAAATGGACGAGGTGAAGACCAATGGCATCAGGACTCCCGTAGACGACGACAGGACGTCGCTCGAAGGCCTGGGTCAGGACGGCTCGCCCAGGAGTCCCACAGTCAAAGGCCATCGTCGCGTCTCGTCGCGCAACTCGCATGGCTCGCTCGGCCGCAAGCAGGGCGAGCAGGCACAGAACGGCATCCACGAGAAGCACGCAAATGGCCATGGCGAGACGCTGACGAGTGTAAAGCCGCAGCAGGAGTTCCAAGTCGCCAAAGCAGATAGAAGAACCGACCTCAAGCGCAGAAACTCGGAGCTCACGACGGGACGACAGGCCGGTGCGGGATGGTCCAAGAGCAAGTGAGTCGACTTGTGCTCTACTGAAGACGTGTTGAGACTGACCTGTCCAGAATACGATTTGCGCCCATGAACGTTCCCCTCCAACGCCGCCTTCAGACCCTCGCCGTCCTCATGCACACGCTCAGCATCGTCGGCGGCCTCGCCATCTTCTTCTTCCTTTGCAGCATACCTCTGCTCTGGCCAATTCTCCTGCCGTATACCGTCTATGTCCTCTTCTCCAATGCTGGCACATCGGGCGAGCTGTCTTTCCGCAGCGACCGCCTCCGCCGACTGCCCGTCTGGTCGCTCTTTGCGTCCTACTTCCCCGCTCGCCTACATCGCTCGCAGGAGCTGGAGCCTACTAGGAAGTACATATTTGGCTACCACCCACACGGCATTATATCCCATGGCGCTTTCGCTGCCTTTGCGACTGAGGCCCTGGGCTTCTCCCAGCTCTTCCCTGGCATTACCAACGCCCTGTTGACCCTCGACTCCAACTTCCGCTACCCCATTTACCGCGAATACGCCCTGCGCCTCGGCATGGCCTCCGTCTCCCGCGAGTCCTGCGAGAACATTCTCTCCAAGGGCGGTCCTAACAACGAAGGCATGGGTCGCGCAATTACTATTGTCGTAGGCGGCGCACGTGAATCCCTCGATGCGCGCCCTGGTTCCATAAAACTCGTTCTCAACCGTCGCAAAGGCTTTGTCAAGATGGCCATCCGCACCGGCGCCGACCTCGTACCTGTCCTGGCATTTGGTGAAAACGACGTTTACGACCAACTCGACACCGACTCGCACCCCTACATACACAAGTTCCAGATGCTCGTTAAGAAGTTCATGGGCTTTACCGTGCCCATTTTCCATGCGAGGGGTATCTTCAACTATGATGTGGGCATGATGCCTTACCGACGGCCCATCAACATTGTTGTAGGACGTCCGGTTAGGGTCATGCAGGATAAGCATCCGGACAACGATTACATCAACAAGATACACCAACAGTACGTTGACGAGCTTATGCGGATATGGAATGAGCACAAGGACACTTTTGCCAAGCACAGAACGGGCGAACTTGAGATTGTCGAGTAAGCAATCACTGGTCTTCTCTTGCAGTAATGGACGCGATGTTGGTCTTTTCCTTCTCTGCCGACCTGGGACTTGAATTATCGTTACGCACAAAGTCTGCGTGACCCATTATGGATACCAATTATAACATTCTATATGCTAAGCAACAATGAATTCTCAACATTAATACGTCGATTTGCCTCTAGTGTCATGCAGTGATTTGTTGGAAGCACCCTGATATGAAAGATTAGGCAGCAGGAGAAAGTGTGTTAGTCAAACTGGTACCAAGAGGATATGTGGAAGCGAATCGTTGGGGATCTAAACCATATTCTACTATAATAACTACAAAGAAAAAGATCGCAAAAAGAAAACATGACGATCGTGTAAATGTCAAAACTAGAAATAACGCCACCCAGCATTACATGTTCTCTGAGTCTATGTGTGTCCCTTTGACAACAACGACCCTGTCTGTTGCTCAATCAGTAGAAAAATGACTGATGCGTGACGATGGATGCGTTTCTTTCCTGTCCTCCTCTGTAGAAAACGCCTTCAACTTGTACTCCATGACAGTCGACTGGACACCCTTGCCCTTGTCGTTGCTGTTCCGTTGGCTGGTAGTGTTGCTTCCATTGAGGGTGCTGGCGTCGGAAGCGCGGTTACCCATGCCCTTTTCCTCATCGCCACCATCCTTCTTGTCCTCCGTGGCGTTGACGGCACGGCCAGTGAATAGGTCATCGGGGAAGGGGAAGAGTGTGCGGCGCCTGGGTGGCGACTTCTTCGTGGCTGTCATCCATACCAATGCCGTCATATCCTTACCCAGCGCCTCGATGATGGGAGTGACGATAGGTAGACAAGCGAAGAGTACACCGTAGGATGTTATTCCCACAATGGTAACATTGATACCGTAGCTGAAGCCGCGACTGGCAAGCATGACCATGAGCCAAGATCCGTACGTCCAGAAGACAAGACCGTGAAGCAGGTAGATGGTGAAGACGTGGGGGAAGAGGATCAAGAAGGGAGGTGTGGAGAGGACCCATTGGACGGCAGCGGAGAGCTCGACAATAGCTTGCATACCACCAGCGAAGAGCAAACCGTTGAGACGGGGTGTGTAGTACGGAGGGTAACCTGCCGAGTCGGTGTTCTGGATGGGTTCGCCGGACACAGGGTCGGGGTGAATGCCACGCTCTGCAGTCGAGAAGTTGAAGTCCGTGTCGACCCAGTTAGGAATGACGTTGACAGCAAAACCAGCACCGACGCAGAGCCAGAAAAAGGTGATGGTGGCATAGTAGGCTGAAGGTCGCTTGTTCAGGAACGCCTTCCACTTGTAGGTTACATCGAGGTCGGTGAGGAGCAGACCAAGCCAAAGGTATGTACCCCAAGTCTGCGCGTACCAGTGGTTGATGAGGCAGAAAGCATAGTAGCACATGCGCTTCCAGGGAGTCTTGATCTCGTATACGACGACAGCGCCGAGAAGCACAAGCCAGGAACCTTGAAGTTGTACGGCGATGGTCCAGAGAACACCGGTGCAGTAGTGCAGTGTGATCTGTGGGACGGCGTTGGGAACGAGGAACATAAGTTCGAGAACTTCAGAGACATATTGCCCAAAGTTCTGATAGCGGCTCACGTAAGGCCATGTCGACCAGGTTAGGGAAGGGATGTATTGCAGGAACTTGGTAGCACCAACGTCGATGAAGAAGTACTCCAGTAGGGCCATGGCGGCGACGGGGATCATGAGACGGGGTGTACGACGCACAGCTGCCTTTGCAATCTCGTCCATCTTGCCCTTGCGCAAGTAAGGCGACGTAAGGAAACGAACCGAGGTTGTGAAGAAAACACCGAGCCACATTTGGTTGAGCAGGAATGGACCGATGATTCTCTGTGCCCATGGTTCAGATGCGTTGTGTGCGGGTGCACCCGGTGTGACGATGGCAGGGACGAAAGTAAGACCAAAATGCATCAGGGTGACCACGAGAGAGCAGAGGGCTGTCAGACCAGCAAGATGGTCGATACGTTGTCGCTGGGGCAGAGGCTGAGGGCGCATACGAGGAGCTGGAAGAGCAGATTCAGTAACAGTCTCCATTGCGATCTTGTCATGTGGAGCAACCATAGGGACAGAGTTGTTTGTCGTGGCGCGGGGGTCCATCAGTGTCATCATAGATTCGTGTCCTCTCGATACTGCGGTGCCTGGGGTACCTGGAGTCATCAGAGTGGATCGAGGGTCTACCATAGTCTGCATGGAGTCACGTCCCATTGAGACTGCTGTTCCGGGCATTGGTGGCATAGGTGCGTAGAGATCCTCGCGCGTAGTGTTGAAGTTGCTGTTGAATGGAGTCGGGCCACGGCTGTCAAAGAGAATCGAGCTCGGTCTGGATAGGCCATCCTTGGGCGTAGAGCCTCCGAGAGTAGAGGTGCCGGGAAGCCTTTCGATGGCCATGTCGTCGTCGTCTGAGTCGCGCTTTTCAGAGGCAGATGGGGTTTTCTGCTCACCACCGCCACGGGAGAAGATTTCGTGAGAGGCTACTGTAAAAGTACTGTCACTGAAAGGGTTCCTCTTTTGCTCCTCCGAGGCTTTCGACTCGGTTGTGGAAGCTGCGTCAGGTTTCTTGATGTCATTGTTGACCTTGGGAGCGAGACGTCGGATGAGGGTGTGGATGACGAGGATGGTCGAGAAGATGAGACATGACACGGAGAGCCAGAGCGCTGGCATACGCTTGATGTCTTTGCCCTTGTGCTGCTCCCACTTCTCGGTCGCGTCGTCACCGTAAGGAGTTGAGCCACGGAGTTCGATATCATCCATTGAGCATGCATTGTTCAACGGGCACCTGGCGACAAAGTCTTCGCGAGCATCTTCGTTCATCGAAGACGAGTTGAAGAACATGCGTATCCAGCCAACTTCAGCAATAGACTCTCTTTGCTGGGGAGGACCACGCATCGAGTAGCGGTTACCGGTTGACCAGTGTTTAAAGAAAAGGGCTGAAGGAACCGACGGCATGCCCTTGTTGTTGCTGTGTTGAACTTGCCTAGTGAGGTTGCCGCCAATGTAGAAGTTGATGTAGTCTGCGGTCCAATCGATCCGATATTCGGTGAAATCCCAAGGGTTGATGCTTCCATTGCTAAGACCACCGCCGAGCGTAGTGTAGTTGCGGTTGGCGGCCGTACCGTTGAGGAGCTGGCTATAGTTCATTCCAAGGTTGCGTGTGGTGAATTCGTTGTTAACAAAGGTTCCCACCCATGGATCCCTTTGGTTGTTCATGTTCATGACACTAAGCTCAGTGATCTCAGTCTCATTGTACTTCCACATCATTGAGGCTGCAGTGCCGGCGGATTCCATGTCCGCCGACTTGATGAGAGTGCGAAAAGAACCATGTTGGATGTCTTGTCGCTTAGTCCGAAGACTAGCACCCCGAACAAGATGGTCGTTGGTGGATGGTTGCACAACAAGCTGAAGCGAATCGCTATTGTTGAATCTCAGGTTTTCGGGAGAGGCACCTTCGCGGTAGATAGCATTCTGAAAGGCATTAGCAGGTAGTTCGCAAGCACATGCTACAGCAGAGAACGGACCCAGTCTTTCGCATAGTTCTGAGCAAAGTCTTCAGCAATAAATTCGCCTGGTAATTGGTTGGTCTCGTTGAAGTAGACGATGATGGAGTCGGTGAAGAGCTCTTGGGTTTGACTGTCGTAGAAACCACAGGCACAGCTGTCCTGCCCACGCGTAACATCGGCAAGCGCAGGCAAGATATGCACAAAGGCAAGACCGAGCAAATGAGAGTTGAACATGGCGAAGAGTGAGTGACTGAACAGAAAACAGGGCGAAACAGGCTGCTCAAATTGGAGAGGCAGTATTTGTCTGCAACATATGCATGCAGCTAGCTGTGCAAGGCCTTTGTAAAGACCCCGGCACAAGCTTGCAACAATGCTCGCCGGGCGGAGAGGAGCCGCGATGCTTTTCCGACCAACATTGGCATCAGGTCGTTGCGCTTCGAAAAGTCCCCTATCTGGGACATAGCCCTAGCCCGTCCCTTTGGGGGTCATGATCGGAGCGTTGCCTCAGCGGGGAGTGCGCGGCCCTGCAACAGGGCCAAAAAAGGTATGCAAGCTTTTCTTGGCAGGCCCGTACTTGATAGCAAGTAGGTTGGAACGTCGTGGCATGGGGCTAACTAGCCGCCGTATGAGGTGCAGAAGAGAAGAAGGTTGAGGAAGATGCCGTGCCCCCGCTGTCGGTGGGTCGGAAACGTGCGCCGCACACCTGCCCAAATGCACCTGTGCGTCGGCGCTAGCACAGACGTTTCGATGTCCCAATGCATCCCGCGCTCGTTCTGCCTCATCTTTGTTGAGGAAACTTCATCACCATCCCAGTTTCGATCATTGATCTTCGTTGCTAGCATCGACCGCTATCAGTCGTTTCCGGAACGACCAGGGCCGGCGTTACACTCATCAATCCCAGCGCTGCTTGCTGCACTCACCATGCCGCTGCGGGAACGCGTTGTCGTGTCAATGCCGAGGAAAGTGCCCAATTTTTCAGCTCTTGTAGTCAGCTTCTGCACAGTTTCTGCATAGCTTCTGCAGGTTCAGTAATACCATGTACACCGGGTACCGGGGCCATGCGACGCAAGATAGCGGCTGGCATGTCGCCTTCCCGATGGATTCTCCCAAATCCGCCCAATCCAGTATACACAAGCAGTTCGGTGACGTGGATCAAACTGCGGCCTACTGGCAAAAAGCATACCGTTGGCTGGACGCACAAATGAGCGTGGGTTTGACATGTGACTTGGCATATTCACCATTCCCGAGCTGTAGAGATGCACATGGGTCGACATGATCAACGTGCAGGACTGACCCACTCCAATCTCATTATCACATCTTGGCATTGTTGATGCTAGGTAATGCTGATCTCAGTAGAGCACGAATCTTGCATGGAGACCAGCTCCTACGGGCGGTAATGACGGTTTCGACATGAACCCTTCGGCGGTATTGCCCCTTCTCCATTCGTTGGTTGATGGTCACAGTGTTTACCCAATGCACTAAGAGATTGTACAATCAAGGCCCGAATATATGTTCTGTATCCGCTCCTTACAAGTTGTCCCACCCCCTCCATCATAGTCACCACTCGCTTTGACTACCCCCCCATCCACCGTGACAGTCGCATCATACACTCGTTTCAAGATGTCAGACTCTACGAAGGACTGCGTGATCGAGGTTGGAGAGGTCGCCTCTCCTGTGGTCAACGAGAAGTCAACCCCAAAGAGCAGTTTGAGCGTTTCCGAGATCCCCGGGCGCACATCATCGTTCATCTCGGAATGGACGCCCTTCGGTCTGGTCGCCTCATACTACGTCTTCTCAGTATGTCTGTACATGTACTGCAGCAACAGCTTGATTGCCATCTTCTGGTTTATCTACATGTGCACCAACTTCTACATCGCCGGTACAACTGTTCTGGAGGCATTCTTCAGCATCACTCCTTGTCGTGAGGCAAGAGAGATTGTCACCCAGGCACAGGAGAAGGAGTGGCTGTTCCCTACGCCGCACCATCAGCTACCAATCATCGATCTGCTCATCGTCGCCTACCTACCCAACGAGCAGGACATCATCATGGATCGCGCTCTCTATGCGCTTGAGCAGATTGACTACCCCTCGAACAGGATACGCATCAATATCCTCTACAACACCTCGAAAGCAATCGAGCCATTGGAGAGCGAGCTAGCCGCACTTCCGCAGCGCTTCCCACACGCAAGGGTCATCAAGGTGCCCAACTCCACCTCCAAGGCCGACAATCTTAACTACTTCTTCACGCTGGACACTGGATCGGACATCATCGCCATCTACGATTGCGACCACTACCCCCACCCGAACTCACCCAGATGGGCTGCCGAACGATTCGTCGCTGACAAGCAGGTTGACATTGTTCAGGGTCGTTGCATCGTCTTCAACTCCGATGATAGCTTCATGACCAACATGATCGCTGTCGAGTTTGACAAGATCTACGCTGTTTCTCACCCGGGTCGCTCTACTATGTGGGGTTTTGGTCTCTTCTGCGGTTCTAATGGTTACTGGCGCACTTCATTACTGCGCGATCTGAAGATGGACGACACTATGCTTACCGAGGACATTGACTCTGCTCTCCGCGCCTTCTCCAAAGGTGCGAAGACTGTTCACGATCTCAATGTCACTTCGTACGAGCTGGCCCCCACCACCTTTGGCGCATTCTGGAAGCAACGTCTCCGGTGGGCTCAGGGTTGGGCTCAAGCGAGTATGCGTCACATGAAGATGGTCTGGAACGGAGTCAAGGATCCACTGCACGAGGAGCATGCCAAGCGTAGCTTCACTGCCCGCTTCGGTGTACTGTCACTACTGCTCATCCGCGAGTCTTCGTACTATCTGGTTACCCAGTACACGTGTCTCGTCGCGTCATTCATTATCGTCAAGTTTCCGACTTCCGGGGACGAGCTGTGGAGGCTGGTCTATTTCCAATACCCTGTATCACAGTGGCTTTTCATCATCAGGTTCGTACAGCATCTGCACGATTAAATTTGTACCTCGCTAACAGTGTCGTGTCACAGTATCGTCTGCTTGATTGCTACGCTCTGGATTACCAACCAGGTCAAGTCCGAGTACATCTCTCGGAGGATGATTATTCTCTTTTCAGTTCTGTATCCTTTCTATCTTATTCTCAACGCCACGATCGGTCTATACGGTCATGCTCGTCAGCTTGTCAACTACAGCTCCTGGAACCCAACAGCCAGGAAGTAACACCACATTACACTTTATCAATTTCTTTTTTGTCTATATATATTAGGGAAGAGGGCGCAGGACATTAGATGCACTCTCTGGATAATGGAATGAAGACTCAGAAGCCATCAGTGGCCTCGAGGCTATAATGAGTCACGCTCCAGTATATAATACACGATTAATATCACTATAATCACTATTACCACAACTCAAAATTATCATTGCTGTTCCTGCGAATTCCTCATGTGATCACTACTGTTTCGGAAGAATTCTGTTACGGAAGGTTTCTCATGATTGTGCACTCTTCTCATCTACCAATAAGCTTGCTTCATTGACCAATCTCTATCACGATGTCTTCTCGGTGACTACGACTAGAAAATTAATCCATGAAGCAACGCGCGGCAATGCAGCAGGAACACGGAAGAACCGCATTATCCCAGCAAGATCACGTCGGCGCTTCAGATCCCGATCCGACACGCCTTGTATCCATCAAGGTAAGGTTCAAAGATAAGTAAATTCTTAGCACGAAACAAGGCCGAAGCCCAGCACCTTACTGAAACGGTCCCTGCATCCTACCGCCCTGCCAGAAAACATCACCCTAGCGACGTTGGAAAAGGAAATAATCAACAGCATCAGGGGTGGTCGGGACATTACAAGTCGACTATGCGGGGCGATCGACACGCGCCCACTAGCGCATAGATCCACTTCACAAGCGTTCCCTAGGCCCGCGTGGGATGTTGCTATCCAGCACACAACACATGGCGGGTAGCACAACATCGTCAGTCAGCGGAACCATCCGCTTACCTACTAGGAAAATTCGACACGGCATTTTTCTCGGCCAGTCAGTGGTTTCAGTGGGCTCTCGTTGTTCGTGTCCCCTCACCTTCCTTTTTCGGTTCGAAAGCACGAGTCAGCCCCTATGTTTTCTGCAAATGTCTGAAGTTCATGACCCTTTATGGCCTATCGCACGGATAGGGCTCGGGATGCACAGACAACCTCAGGTGTTGAGGCGGTAACTGACAGGTGTAGATAGTGCTGCCCCGTGCGCCACACGTGGAAGGTCCTGAGGAAGGCCGTTCACCGGCATGTTGAGAGAGCAGGATGCTTTTCATCGAGCACGTCACGATGTGCGTCTGGGATATGTATGACAAGGACTGCACTGTTACACAATCTCAAGGCCGTCAATCCAACATCCTAGGACAAGATAACGATCAACAGCTGTCCGTATGCTGACTGGTTGGGCTTGCACAAATTTGTAAACTATTGTAACCCGCGAAAGTTACCCGCTACCAGCCTCAACTAGGGTCAACGCTTATCAACAGATTCACAGCGGCACGTCGAGAACGCCACAAAAAGCATAGCTAGACCTTGGCGTGCATGCACCTGAGGCCTACTCGGAAGCTTGCGTTGCAGCTAAGCTCAACGCTTCCCGTGCTCGGTAGGTGAATGTTGTGCTAGTTGCGGAAAGAAAAGTTGCCTTCAGGTACGTGGGCGTTCTGGTGGCCAAGGTGCTGATCTCGGGTCTCCCCCGGGGGTATCTTGGCTATGGAACTTGGTGCTACTGCTGCGCATGAATGCTATGGGCTTGTGCTCAATCTGTTGTCCGTGTGAGATCGAGGTTGAGGGTAAATTACCCTGTTGGTAAGCTGCTCTTCCTCTTCTACCATCAAGTTTCTTACCTTTACTCGCGGTACTGAGCAAGATGTCTGCAACAATGGAGCCTACCCTTCCGTCCAAACTCAAGGCGTTCTTCCCTTCGTCGTCAACCCCGCAAGGGACGACTAGCCTTTCGATTGACCAGAACTACCTCATTGGGCTCCGTGGCCTACTCGTGTTCCAATCTTTTCTCTTCGTCTTCTTCCAGACATTCCTCCCAGCCGCCCTTCCCGACTCGAAGAACGTTGACGGCCCGACATACCAGGTCGTACTTCGCAAGTCTTTTTCAGTGCTCTTCGCCAACGAGGCTCTGATCTACTCATGGATTATCTTCCTCTCTGCCCGAACTATCTGCTTGCCATATCTCGCCAACAAGACTCGCGAAGTCGGTGCCTCCAGTATCTTTCGTCGCGGTATCAGGTTATGGATTCCCACTTTCATTGCATACTCTTTCGCGGCAGCAGCCTTTAGCACAAGCTCAACCGACTACATCTCCGAATTCTTGGCTTCCACTGGCAACATCTCCACCATCGCACCAATGCGCCTCCGTAACTTCCTGCTCTACTTCAACTCCCTTTTTGAGATTTTCTGGGTCAACAAGCGCTACGCTAGTCAAGCTGCCAACGATGTATTTCCATCAGGGACCCTTTGGATAGTGTCTGTGCTATTCCAGCAAAGTTACACCGTCTACATTACCATGATTATTGTCCCGAACACCCGCACTTCATGGCGCGTCAAGGCCATGTTGGCCTTCATCGTAGCAGCATTCTGGGTGCAGAGTTGGGCCTGGTACAGTGTCACTGGTCTTATCATCGCTGATGCGGTTCTCAACATGGACTTCCAGTTCCGGTCCCTGAAGGGATTCAAGATCGGTAACTTCGGCATACCGGTCTGGCCACTGTACGCCATCATGGTGGTAACCGGTTTTATACTGCAATTCGCCTTTATCTCCGGGAAGCCTAGCATGCGCGACAACGAACTATACGGCCACACTGCGCTATACGACGATGGGTTCCTGAACGAGAACGCTGACCTGGATCAGCCAATGCCGAGGGTCGACAATTACCTCATCATCCTTGGATCGATGCTCCTCATCGAGACGTTCGAGTGGCCTCGATCTGTGCTTCGCGGCGGTTTCTTTGTTTCGCTAGGCAAGAGGAGTTTCAGTAAGTGACGGCCCTGGAACGCTCCATCGAACAACTACTTACAAATTTCAGGCTGGTTCCTCGTCCAATCCATAATCATATACACCGCCGGTATCAAGCTATACACACACATGGTCACCGCCGGCATGAACAACGCTGCGAGCAGTTTCGTGTGCTTCTTGGTTTGCGCTCCTCTCGTTGCAATCGTAGCGGAGGTTTTCTACCGTGTCGTTGATCTGCCGAGCGTCGTACTGGCTAGAAGCTTCTGGGCGTTCATGACGAAATAAGTGGCGGCAACGGCTCGCTAACGGCACGTGTTTCGGGTCATCGTCAGCCACATCTTCTGCTGTTTCGCTTACCAGCCTTGCCCTTCTTCTCCGCACTCGCAATTCAGCCGTCTCCGCGGAACGCCATACGCCACATTGCCCTTGCGCAAGGAATTTTGTGGGACGCCCACTGGTCAACAAGCACGTCTTAATAGCTCGGCATGCCTTTTGGAGAAATCCCCGCATTACTGTTGATCCTTCGAACTTCCCCGCAGTGTGGAGGGACATCAGTCTATTGGTATTGGTTCGGGAAAACGTACAATTACGGGTCATGAGTGTAACAATAGTTAGATCCTTAGATTTCTGTTAATGTTTATCTCTTTTCTTGTTCGCACCTGACTTCTCCATTGTTGTTGTGAGCGCGCGCTGCTGAGCCTTCAACCTACCAATTAGCTACAATGGAAGAACCTAAAGAATTTGGCACTGAACGTATCGAGAAGGCCATTGTGCTTGACGAAACGATCGATGTCGCCCTAGACAGGCGTGTAAATCGTAAATTCGACACCCATATCTTACCTTGGTTATTCGGAATTTGGTATCTTCCCTGCTATCGTACACAACATCAGGCTATATACTAAGTCATCTGTCTAGGCTCTTCTCATTCATAGACCGCAGCAATATCGGTAACGCTCGTATAGCAGGCCTGTCAGACGAGCTATCTATCACAACCGGCACGCGGTTCAACATTGCGCTTCTAGTCTTCTACATCCCGTATATCCTCGTTGATGTACCTTCGAACCTTCTTGTCAAGCGCCTACGTGCCGGCATATACTTACCGGCTCTTATAACTGCATGGGGTTTAGTGTGCACATTCATGGGCTTCGTCCAGTCTTTCGCCGGGCTGGTCGCATGTAGGCTGTTGCTAGGACTATGTGAGGGTGGTATCCTTGGTGGCGTGATAATCTATCTTGCCATGTTCTATAGGAGAGGAGAGATGTTGTTGAGAAGCGGGTTGTTCTACTGCGCTGCGCCACTATCTGGGGCCTTTGGTGGACTGTTAGCTTCAGGATTGGCTACCATTGAAGTTGGGCAGTATCGAAGGTGGCCCTGGATTTTCTTTGGTAAGTCCAACTTGAGTAACATCCATAGTTCACCCTCCATATCAGGGAATACGTTGCACTAACTTAGTATAGTCGAGGGTGCAATAACTGTTGTCTTCGGCATCATCTGCTTCTTCTTCATGCCCGACACGCCTGCGGCAGCAGGTTTTTTAAGCGACGAAGAGAAAGAATGGGCATTACGACGCATGAGACTTGACGCGGGAGGGTCTACTGAAGTCGATGTGGAAGATGAGAAGTTTAGCTGGTATTGGGTAAGGATGGCACTGAAAGCCCCACAGACCTATCTTTCTGCTTTCATCTGGTTCTTTTTATTGGTACCGCTATACGTACGTCTTCTCGACTTCCATGTCTCAATGGCAACACTGATTTACAATAGAGTTTTTCATTGTTCCTACCTAGCATCATCGCAGGAATGGGCTATCGAAGCACTACTGCGCAGCTTTTCACGGTGCCCCCCAACATGGCTGCCTTCATCACCGTCATTGGCACGGCGTATGCCTCGGACAAACTAAAGAACCGGGGCTACTTTATCATCGGAGGATGCGTTTTGGGAATATGCGGTTACGTGATGTTGATAGTAGCGACGACCAATGCCGTACGATATGCCGGCACGTTCCTAGTTGCCATCGGTGTCTTCCAAGGCTCACCCATGCTCATGGTAAGCTTGATCTGAAGATCTGCGTACTTGTCTTGCTCACATGTATCCAGGGATGGGCGTCCAATAACCTTGCGCCTCACTATGTCCGAGCAGTCGGAATTGGTATGGTGATTTCCATTGCTAATTGTTCGGCCTTTATCGGTACATTCATCTATCTCCAACGCGATGCGCCGAGGTATGTTTTGGGCCATTCGGTTAGCCTTGGTGCATTAGTGATAACGATCGTACTCTCTGCTGCCCAGTGTGTGTACTTGGGTTGGGAAAACAAGAAGCGAGACAGGGGTGAGCGAGATGATAGACTTCTGCAAGCGGATGCGGATAGACTCGGCCATCAGCATCCGAGTTTCAGATTCACATTGTAGCCGAGGGCAGGCGGTGACGAAAGCGATGCCGGTGTTGTTGGAAGCTAGCTAGGAAAAATGTTACGAGACTAATATGCCGCTTCATGTCGAAGAAATGTTTTCCGGTGCTAGCGTTAGGTAATATCATGCCCTGTCTTCATAACTTCGCTCTTTTCATATCTCTTCCCCCAATCATACCTTTTTGCTTGGTAGAATCCTTCCGCCATGGTGTGAGGCTTCCGCCGCCTGCGACCCACCCGATTGCCATAACGATCAACGTAAACGGCACGGCGGTCAGGAAATACCACCCGTATGTTGATTTCAACGCCGACACGCTCTCGTTCATACTGTATAAACCAGATATGAACGTCAACGGAATGAAAATAGTCGCCAGCCATGTGATTCTTGCCATGTTATGATTCTCTTCAAGTCCGCGACGTGAATCTTCGATGGATATTTCCGAAGTGACAATGCTGGTAAGGCGGTCGACGCGTTCCTGTAGTTCGTTGACATCGGCAAGAACACGTTTGAAGTCGGGGACTATATCCTCAAACCCCTCCACGTTTTCAAAGTTGATGACCAGGTTGTCAGAAAACGCTGAGCGTATAGAAAGAGGTGAGTTGGGCGCGGCGGAATACTGAGGAGACGGGGTTGTGAGTCGCGCTGCGGCTGGGAGCGCGTGTTCCAACGTCTCTGCCACCATCTCTCGAAATACAGGAATCTGCCGACGCCAAGTGTGAAGCCGTTTGAGCGATGTATCGATGGCGTCGCCTTTTGAGCGGAAGAGGCGCGGCAGTTCAAGTTCCCATTCTATTTGGCTAAGTCGGGCCCTTACATAGTCACACACTATAAGCCATTCTGCGCAAATGGTGTAAATGGTTGGTTTGGCAAGGACTTGCGCGTTTATATCGTGACCTTCTCTCCGCTCGAACCATGGGAATGCGGTAGTCATTTGGACAATATCCTCGAACCAGGATACAGATGACTTGATCGAAGGGTAGACCTTGGTCTCCATCTTAGGGGTCGGCAGCCAATTACTGCGATCATACCCTTTGCAGTGTCAGCGTGTAATTTTGCCAGGTTGAGATGTCATGTGTTGGTACTCACATAGGGGTTGACCCTGGCGGACGGTCGGATCCAGCAACACGATTCCTACAGTCCCGTTTCCGCACTGCTTATCTTTGCCAATCCACATTGTGGTCCGTGTACGCATAATGGATACGACTGCTCCGTCTCTGTCTTGATAGTGCCAATGATTCTCGTCGTTGTCAGGACGTCTCAGCACGTTCCAGGCATTTGCCTCTAACCTCGAATCCTCGAATTCTTTCTCTGTTTTGAAATATCGTAATCTCATATTGCGCATTCTAAACCACGGTCGATGCTTCATGCTTGAGATTAGGCTGGGCGGTGATGCCCAGGGGTCGCGAGTGTTATGCCATACGTAGTCATCGATTTGCTCGCGGAAGAATAAAGGATCAATATCGAAGCGCGCTCCCAAAAGCTCGATGACTTGCTGAGACAGATCTTCCACAACGAACAGTCGCAGAGGAGGCTGTTTCGTACGCTCATGCGACAGGGCTTGTAAAGTCTCGTGCAGCAATGTGGGTGTCTTGATTGCTGTAGTTTTGGGTGCTGTGGAAGGGTTATATTCCACGAAAGTGACATTGGTCTTGTTCCTCCGCCTTGCGAGCTCCTCTGGGTGATGTTTGATTTCATTCCAACGCAGTGGGGTTGTTCCGACCTGCATCCAGTCCGCCAGATGGCGTAGATTTTTCCATGACGTTGACAGTGATTTGATGTGCGCCAAGTATGGTAGCTTCTTGCTGTTACTGTGCTGCGTAAGTGATGATCTAGAAATACAGTCGTGCTATCTACCTACGGATCTGGTATTTCCCACTCATCTGCCACGGGTATCCGTTCATATGCGTCTCCGATCAATGCATAAGGATCGGGAAAGTCTGCGCTATGTGGAATTTGCTTCGCACTCCAAAGTGCCGGCATCGTGTCCCTCTTGGCAGGCAGGACATCGTCGTTGCCAATATCGGAATTAGAAGACATGGTTATTCGAATGCTAAATTTGCGTCCTTAACGATAGAGAGGACGATGCGATGGGTTTATAGCTCTGTGACAAGGCTGCAAGGCGATGTTGGGGGCTGAAAATAAGTCCCGAAGGCTGAGACTGAAGCGCGACAATCTTAAGGTTGCATCAGGGGTGCATACGCGAGGTTTCCAGCGACGTATACCCGCGCGCCTCTATGCGGATCTCCACATCCAAGGAGGCGCCTGAAAATGTTAGTCCTTCTGCGTACTGGATCGTGTGGATAAAGAGTGTGTTGAAAAGTACAGACATCGTGCATGCCATGTTGCTCAGTCTGTGGCGCCATCAGCTGAGACGAGTCCGACCCAATTTGGTCTAGACGTAAGATTCAGGCGCCCGGCATCAGCAAAGCCACACTTGGGATGCCAGCTCACCTAGAACCTCTTCGGAAGTGCTTGTACTACGCGACAGAGTATATAGGTATTGATCGAAACATCGTAGGCTTATGCGATAGAAATCTCCAGTCCGAGCTGGGCTAGATGCAGCCCAGGAATATAGTAATTACGATACAAGCTTACAGGCGAAATCGATAGCTTTGTCCGCCCGAATCCGCGGCGTAAACTCTGCTATAGCACCGACTGAGCGGTGCCATTGCAGCGGCACTTTTCTTATCATCGTATGATTGCAGCCTATACAAAACTTACCGTGTGTTATCCCTGGGCTTACTCGCCTGCACGACGTCAGGGCCGAATGTGGGGAGAACGCGGGGCGTGCAGTACACCTCGGAAGTCCAAACTCAATGTCGCACAAAGGTACACTGGCAGGGCACGTATGTGTGCCTTGTCTTAATATCTAACGTATTTCCATTGACGTCTAGCAACTTCAATTCATCCAGATCTCAACATGACGCATGATATCCTAAAACCCCATTGGTCTCGGTTCCTTGGCCCTAACGCTCCTGATCCCCAAAAAGACAAATATCTACCTCACGACCAAGCTGTATTTTCGTCGCCGTATGGTCCACTTCCACCTACGCCAGACGATCTTAATATCCACGAGCTTTGCTTTCCGCCAAACAACCCATTGCCAGAAGATTACCCTCTATTCATCAACGCCGCCACAGAAGAAGTTGTCACCCTCCACAGCTTCTATGCTCGGGTATGTGCATTGGCGCGCGTCTTCAGATATGATGGTCCAAATCCACTGGGTCTAGAGAAGAGTCCAGTAGATGATAAAGAAGATGGAGAAATCTTGGCTTTATTCTCACGGAATCATCTGCACTATCCAATGATAGCGCACGCATGTTTCCGATCAGAGCTGGTCTTCGGCGGGATCAGTCCAGCGAGTACGCCCTACGAATTATGGTGGGTATTGAGAAAAATGCAAATTACGAGCATCATGTGTCATGAGACGTTGCTCCCGGTGTTGAGTGAAGCGCTCAAGTTGGGATCTGGCGAGGGCGACAATCTATCTCTGAAGCTCAAGTTGAATCCTCAAAAGGTCATCGTACTGAGCGATAATCCTCAATTAGACCACGTATCAGGTCAACGTACTATTGAATCGCTTGTAAGAGAAGGGTTCAATTTGCCAGAACAAAAGCGGAAGCTGCTTGGCGGAAACCGTATGGCATACCTGTTTCAATCTTCAGGAACTTCCGGCTTGCCCAAAGCAATGATGATCACGCATAGGAATGGCTACTCTTCTGGGATGCAAACGCTCCATACCGGTGTACAAGTTGCGCGCTTCACAGGAGACGAACCGTTGACGCCCGTCACTTTACTCGGTGTTGTCCCGATGTATCACTCATACGGGATGATCCTGTGGATCCTTCGTCTCAATCTAATCAAGCAGACCTCCGTCATCCTTCCAAAATGGGACCTCGAGCTTGCTTTGAAGAGCATACAGAAGTACAAGATTACACATCTTCCACTGGTCCCACCTCTAGTCCGTCAGCTTGCTCAAAGCTCATTGACTGAGAAATATGACCTAAGCTCTGTGGTCGTCGCATCTAGCGGTGCTGCATATCTGCCACCAGATGTCGCACATCAGCTGGCCAAGAAGCTACCACAGGGTGCAGAGATACCAGTACCAAGTGGCTATGGCCTCAGTGAAGCAGCCAGTATCGCTAGTTCGGGTGCGAATGGGATCTTTGGCTTAGAGCCTGCGCTGTCTGGCACGATTGGATATCTGCTCCCAGGTATGCAGGCTCGTATTGTGGACCCTGACACACTCAAAGACGTAGCCAAGGGTGAGAAGGGTGAGCTCTGGGTACGTGGACCAGTTGTCACGCCCGGTTACTTCAGAGAAGCCAAAGCCACAGCGGATATGTTCACCGAACCGGGCTGGCTACGCACTGGAGATCTTGTCATGCGCGACAAGTATGACCGTATTCACTACCTCGATCGCCTAAAAGAGATGATCAAAGTCAAAGGTCTGCAAGTTGCTGCCACGGAGGTGGAGGATACGTTGCTGGACCATCCGGAGGGTCTTGTGCGCGATACATGCGTAGCTGGCGTCGATAATGGTCGCGGCGATGGGTCCTTGTTTGTCAGAGCATGGATCGTACTCACGAACGAGGGAGGGAAACAGGGCGAGGATATCGTCGTAAAGAAGCTACATCAGTGGGTCGAAGGACG